ATCTATCCTTATATTGGCATAAATGGTCATGGGTTGTCAACACAGATATATCAAGTAATTCACCTAAATCATTCTTTGATCTCTAGAGCTAAGCCTGTAAAATTTGAAGAGTTTACTTTCTTCAGTTTATATGTCAAATTCTTATTCATCTGAAAAACTGTTGAAAAGCCAATGAAACATAATGTATAACTATAGTTTTGTAAAATTCTATGATCAATATTATACTACTTTTTCCCCACTCTGTAAAAATTTTCTGTATAACTTGAAAAAAAATTTTTCAAATCATCTCCCACTTAAAAATTATCTGTTTTGCTGGCCTATAGATTCCAAGAACAGGACTAAAACAAATTTTTATTATCTTAATTTTACTTAAGGACTCCAGTGTCACTGACAGGAACCAAGCTGCTAAGATGTTTTTCTTGTTAGAAGTTTTTCTAAGTGCTTTCTTTTCAAACATTTTTTTGCTTATATCTTTCAATGGTGCAACAAATGTCAATTAATCTTTGTTAATTTGAAATAACTCTATGGTAGCAGAGGTTTATTCTCTGGGCTGTCTTGAAGGTATATTACTACTTGATAGTTATTGCTCACCTCAGTACTTCCTACTTCTTTATCCCAAAGGAGAAATAGGAGAGGAGGAGGAGAATAAAGATAAAAAACAGATGGTGAGACCCTCCCCTTCCTTTCCTCTCCCCCCCCCCTTCCTCCCACAAGTACACATTACCACCTTCTCTCTCTGATCATATTTTCAAAGTGTATTTGTACAGCTGTAGGAAGTGTGGAAATTATATCCATGCTAACTTCTGGTTCAAATATGTGTTAAACACAAGTAAGAAAGCACCTAAACCAGTTCAGTTTCATGCAATTTATTATCAATTTGTACAAAATCACGTGGCATCCCCCACTACTTTATTTGGATTAACTAATGTTTCCCTCTGTCATATTCTCATGTTTGTAATCAGAATGGTCTTGGACAAATGTTAGGAAGGCAGAGTATGTCAATGCACTGCCTCACAGCATTCTCTGTGATCCCACAAAAGTATCACAATGGTCAGAGCCCTAAATCTTAGTTTCATATTTATCTATACCAGCTTCCCACTTAAAAAAGACTGAAATCTCTGAGTTTGTTTCCTCATTGGCTAAAAATAACAATAATTAAATAAAATCAAAAATAATAAATTAACAAAGAATAAATTAGGATGAAAATAAATTAAAAATAACAAAGCCTAGGAAATTTTCTATTTTCCAAGACTGTTATGAGGATTAAAGTATACAAGATAATAACAGGGAAGATAATAACATTGTCAGCACTTAATATTTTAATAACTAGGGTGGAATATGTATCCTAAAGTTAGACCAATGGCCTATGCTCAAAAGTATATGGCTTTTATATGCATAGGAAATACAACTGTCCTACAGAAGCAATTGTAGTGTGACATAAGGTATAAAAGTAGGTAAATCAAGGAATATTCAAGTAAATAAGCTACTTACCATACTTCCAGTGATTCTCCAGAGCAATTTTCCTAATGTAAATTCAAAGGAAAGGCCAGGAAATCTAGTTTTGGTCACATTAGCTGAAGATATATGGCTATGTTATTTTGTAAAGTACCTATTGACATTTTAAATTAGGGGACTTCGTTATCCCTACTTTAATTATTGGATAAGTGTACTCATGCTGACCCTTACTCCTTCCCAGCCACTAAAGACCTCCCTCTATTTCCTCTGGAATTCAGGATCAGTCATTATCAAAAGTTCTACCTTTTCTCTGAACATTCCCTGGGCACCTTGATTGCAAAAACCGGCTCTGTCCTAGCCACCACTCCCGGAAGCATCTCAGGTAGCAGTAGCCCTTTATTCTTCTGCCCATATATCATGCACCACTGAGCCTGGAAATAGGATAGGATGCATCTGTTCTCCCTCTGGCCTCTTGAATGCCTCCAGCATTTTGTCTCCTGTCATCAGATGACACAACCAACTACTCCTTCTTACTGTATTTACTATCAACTCCTGAGGGAGTCACCTTCATTTTTAAAGCATTTATGTCTAAAATGTTAAACCTTTTAATGCTAGTTCTATGATAATTGTCTGTTTAAACATATACACACAAAATTTTTGAATCATTATCTCAAGGTCAAACTAACCTTTATAACTTTACAAATAAATTTCAGTCACTGACGAACCCCTTGACCAGGTCATTCTTAAAAATACGCAATGCCTAACTGTTCACAACAATCTTGAGCCGCAATTCAAGATTTCCTTTCATTTCAGACATATATTCCAATTACTCTAAACTCAATTCTACACATTCTACTCTCATAACACCTATTCTTCACTCATTTTATCTTGAGTAGCAAATTAGGTAACCTTTCCATTCCAAAGAGATAGCCTCTTCACATCACACACGTTTATACCATGCTCATTGGTCTCAAATTAAATTCATGATTAACTACCTAAAGTGCACCCTTATTGCTTACAGACCCTAAACAATCATGTTTTAATCTATTTAAATCTACATAAAATTAACTTCTCGATCCTTATGCCTCACTGATGCACTGGTTTCCTACAGCAATGAGACAAAGGAAGAAAAAAAAATATAAGAATCCATAAGCCTCTTCCACATGTTCTCACCTACATTCACATTCAAACACCCTGATATATCCTACTCTTCTGTCGAGTATCTGGGACATCAATGTGTGCATGTGTGTGTATATACATACACATATGAAGTGGAGAGAGAGAGAGAGAGAAGGGCGGAGAAGAGAGAGAGAGGAATGAAGGGAACTTCAAGACCTGCTAAAATCAAAATAGATCACTGCCTATCTCAAAATTCCACAAAGGGTTAACATCTTATACCAAACAAAAGCTGATTATCAAGATGATCTGAAATCTGGCCCCATACAGTCTGCCTATCTCCCCATACAGTCCCTTGGTCACTGACCCCAACCATACTGGCTTCTTCATGTTTCTGAAATATTCCAGTCATTCTTTTGACTCAAGACCTTTATACCTGCTTCTTCTCTTACCTAGATCTCTCTCTCATTAAATACCCTCACTCCCCTTGGGTTTTTCTGAAATGTACTCCTCTCTCCCTTTTACCTCTTTATTTATTTTGCTCCATCACTTGTGATCACCATATACACAAGTGATGATGTACCACAGCACATGTTATATAGTATTTTGCTAATTTCTATCTTCCAATATAAGGCCCTTGCAAAGTGACCTTTTGTTCTTGTTTTTCACAACTGGAGTTGCTACGATGTAAACAGAACTAGGAGAACTGCAGCAGCTCCATGCATCTGTTGTGAGAGCTCACGAGTGCTCACTCTAGCAGGAATGAGGAAGAGTTTATCCAGAGAGCCAGAAATTACCATGGATCTCTACCTTGTTCTCTAATACAAGCCCTTGCTGAAGTTCTCACCATGGCCACACAGGGGAGATTGAGGATATCAGATTAAACACAAGTTGGTCTAAAAGTTCTCAAAGCCAACTTCATTTCAGGCTTTTATTGAAATGACAAAAATCTATGTTATTATGTTATTTCACAATATTTGCTGCAGAACAGATAGGAAGGAGCTAAGGGGCCTCCCTGGTTGCCTGGGGTTAACTTTCAAATCTACCACTGCGATGGTCCCATCACTGTGGCGTGAGTTCCATCGTTAGCCAGGGAGTTAACCCACATGGAGCAGCAGACCTCTCTCCTGTCTCACCCCTGCTGCCCTGAGCAGTTTAGTTTGGTAGGTCTGCCTGTTCTGCTCCCACTCTGTCCACCCACCACCCACCACCACCCCCACACCTCTAGCCTACACTTCAGTTCTTTTACACATAAACAAATAAATGTTTTTTAAAAGGTTCTTTGTAAAAATAGTAAAGGGGCCCTCCCTGGTGGTGCAATAGGTTAAAGTACTGCACTAAGAAACTAAAGCCACTCCAGCATAAGTTCGATCCCCACTCTGGAGGTGACCCACATGGCACGACAGACCTCTCCTGACCTGCCAACTGCTCCCTTCAGCGTTTTTTTTTGTCAGTTAGCCTGTTCTGTTCCCCACTCTGCCTCTGGTGAATACTCTCATCACCCCTGCACCTCTGGCCTATACCCCAGTTCTGTATGCTTAAATAAATAAATCTTTTTAAAAAATAGTAAAGATAGGTATTAAAGAAGAATCCATCTCACCACGCCTGCGAGAATGCACCCCAGTTCCAATGGCTAGGGTGTCCACTCAAAATACAAAGGGACTCCTATGACCATTAGAAAAATGAGCGACTGAATTATTACTGAAATACGATACTTCTGCAAGGATGCTTTGATGTTTGTTGAAAGATAATTTACGAATTTCCAGCAGTCCCAATAGTGACTTTAATGAGAGCCTTCTTTTAAAATCATAATTCAAGTTGACTGTGGGGACCAGAGTGTAAAGTGGATAAAGAGCAAGATAAAAATGAACTAGCATGAACAGAATTCAGAGGTGAAAAATGTTCCTTAGAATTCGGGAAGCACAACACACTTTTCAAAAGTGTTTCACAAGAATATAACTTAAACCCTTGTTTCACTGTGAGGAATATTAACACTAAGCTTAATTTACTGAGAACAACCCAAGGGAAAAGCTATTATATGACTACTTGTGATCACAGGAAAAATCAGCATTAACAGAAATAAAACATTAGTGTTCGTAAATATGTGAGAGCTAGAAAACAACTAGATATGCCCATAATCCCTTCAACTTGCAGAGAAAATGTAATTAGAACACTCAAGAACATTGTCCAGGAAAATCTGTATTATTAAAACATAAGCAAAATAAAACAAGAAAACAAATAATTATGATTTCCTAGGTACACATCTTTTGTATTAAAACTGTTTATAAATCCAAGTATGTGGTAAAAAAAAAAAAAAACAAGTATGTGGGGAAAAAAATTCTATACATAGTGGTAAGGAGTTAGAGAATTATCAGCAGTCTAGGTAAACTTCAAGAGAACAGTTACAGCTGTGAAATCATCACACTAACCTCCATTTCCTTCTCCATTGGCACTGGCCTCTGCCATTTCTGTGCCATCCAGTTCAGACTCACAGCCTAAATCCAACGTTCCGTCAGCCGGGCCTGACGACTCCTCTTTCTGAGTTGTTTTTTAAAATAACGATTTATGAAGATGTATTAGCAACTAAGAACATTTAACATACTTCAAGAGTTATAAAATATTATCACAGTTACTTTTAATTTGCAATTTCAATACTGGCTTACTTTTTAAAGCAAAATTGTTCTGTGGGGAAGTAGAAACTGAGAAAATCACACGGCCGTTGGTGATTTCTGTACAATAACATAATTTCCATTTTACATATATTGTTGTTTTTTTTTTTTCCAGTGGTGCATTCTATTCTTCCTTAGGTAAGGAAAGGCATAACAACTCACAATTTTAGCCAGTAAATTAAACATCAAGTAGCCACAAAAAGCTACGTAACACAAGTTCTTTTAATTAACCTGTGGTATTTTCAAAAACAATGATAAGAGCTTGATGCTCGAAAATTAAGAAATCCCTTCTTCTTTGCCAGATATAATGAGTTACATTTAAAAAAATGCAACTTCATAAAAACAAATTCACAAATTCTAAATGTAACCATATCTGTTAGAATAGTTAACTTCCTTTTGACTGATAAGAAGTACTATGCTGATTCTACTTGCTCCAAGTGATGTGACCATTTGTAGGTCATCAGTATTTGTCAAGTGGAATTTTGCATATGAGATAACATTTCCCATTTTAGATGTAAGTGGGAATTACACTAAACCAAGTTGCATTTACCTGAAGATTTTTACTTCTTTATGTTTCCCATATAACAAATAAGCATTATTAGTAAAATTTCTCTAGATCACTGTTACGAAATTGAATACTTGATTTAAATCAGCATTTTCAAGGACTGAGAAAAAAATTCTTATTTTTGTAAAAGAGAAAGGCATACAGGTGTGAATCATGTATATCAACTGATGGTATTAAATCAGTTTATAGCAACTGTGATCATCTTAAACTCTTGGCTGATGATCTATGGCACTCTTCCATGCAAATTTTTAAGAATCGAGAATTTTAAGGAAGCCACAACTATTTTCCATTACCATATGTTGGAGCAAAACCACAGTTTTACTTTACTTAAAGAAAAATGTCATTGTTTATTCTTAATGTGAAATCATTTTTAAGACATCTGAAAATCTTTAAAAGGTATAGGGGTCATTCTCCTTCTCCTTACGCAAATATAATTTTGTTTACCTTCAAATGTCTGAAAAAATGCATGATAAATAGTTATAACTTAAGACATAATATGCAGAACAATCCAACTTACTTTGAGAGCATAGAGGCCTGACTTTCCAGGGATTTTGAAGAATGTTCCATCCCCTATTCGAGTGTTAGTGTGAAGCATTGCATTCAGACAGGCTAATGGAGAAGTTCCACTAGAAGATAAAAGTGTGCAAAGATGAAGCAATTTGAGACACAGCTTCTGTGCAAAACTGTTCTCTCAGTCTCTTAAAAAAAAAAAAAAGCCCTCTTGCATCTTGCATGCCTTTCTAAAATATCCTCCCAACCCAGAAAACATCTACATTACAATAACAGGCCAGTCCAGTTTTGACAAACTTAATCAGATGCATCTGTCTTGTAGGCTTCAGGCAAAAAGTCCCCTGAATTGAAATTATGTTTTTATTCATAGAGCAACCAACACTATATTTCAAAGAAACCAAAGCCCAAACGTTTATGTGGTGTTATTTTACAAATAATACTATGAAGTCTCAGTTTTTTAAATATTACAGACAACTTGATGGTTGCACTTGAATGATCAAATAAACCAAGTTCAAGGCCAGTTCCATCCTATAGGTTGAAAAGTAACAAAAGAATAATAAGAAACCAGGCAAAAACTGATTTAAAATTACAAGTATTTAAGTTGCTCATAGGATTGCATTTCTCACATGGCCAAAGAAAAACCTGTATCAGTGTTTCTATCTCTGATACCACTTCTAAAATGACATCCTTTCCTCAAATTGTCATGTTAAGAAACATGTGTTTGGGAATTATGCGCAGTTAATTGTATTCTGTAGCAAAGATGGAGGTGACTAAACTATGAACTCAGCAGACTTTATAAATAAATCAAACACAGTAAATTAATGAAAATATGAATGTGCAAATGTATATACATTGAATTTACACATATACTTAGAAAGATGTCTATGAAATATGTTATATGTATATATTTTAGAAAGATGTCTATGAAATATGTTATATGTATATATTTCCTGGAATAAAATTTATCCCTTTTTGTGTGTTTTGGGTGCAAATTATCTTTGCAAACTAGAGCTTAGAGCTAGATTGTTACTTTTACTCATTTATATTTCCACAAACATTTTACTTCATAATATGCTAAAAAAATCAATATTTGATTACACAAATATTGACTAGAAACTCTACTCCACCTCATTTGCTTCTTAGGGGTTTTGGACATTTAATCCAAAATATGCTGGAACAAAAGAAACATGAGTTTTTAAAAATCTGAATATCTATGACAAGAACATAATTTTAGATTACGAAATTAAATTTGCTAAAAACCAAGTAAATCCTCACTTACTATGAAACTCAACAGTAAAATGAAAAGTCAGATTTGCTGAATTGCAGCCACATACTTAACAGCAAGTCAGCACAGACACGCATCATGGTCATAAAGGGTTATAGTAATCATAATAATAAGTATTCTCATTACTTTTGGAAGTGGTTTCTGTGTGCCCACATATCAATATGATTCTACTGGATCTGACAGGAAGTAAGAGCCCTAATATAAATTTGGCCATAGAACAATGCAGTTATAACACTAAATTACACATAGTAATAATGCTGTGTATATATGTAATATCTTTCTTCATGAAGATCCTGCAAGCTTACAGAGCTCATTTCATTATTTTTTCACAAAAGACTTTTTTCTCATAGTAAAGAGGACCAAGCATACCTTGTAATGTCAAATATATTCATCTCTCTAGAAATGCATGTCTATGAATAAATTCCAGATAAATAATGCTATATATGTTATACTGAACACTGCAAAATATATTTTTTATCATTATTCTCTTCAAACAAAAGCACAGACAAGTTGACGCTGTGAATTATTATGTAAGATTTGTGGCATTTTAATTTAGTAGGACTGTCAGCAACATATTTTCTATAGGGACTTGGCAAGAAGATGTTAACACTCCAAGTAAAACAGAGCTCTCTACATAAAATGATTCAATGTAGAATTTGAAAAATAGAGTAATAATGATGTCTCCATCTAACATCATACTTTCTACTCTTTATTCTTAAAGTCCTAATAGACACAAACTTTTTAAATCACATTAAAGACTAATATAAATTTAAAAACAATTAAAAAATACTGAACAACTATCATTTATCACCTCTATAATTACATTTCTTTTTTAGGTAGAGTAAATGAAGATAATTGTAGAAGATAAATTGATAATTAAACAACAATTTGATAGTGTGCTTGCTACAAACATAAGTGATAAACACATACTTTCTATAATAAGTTCTGTTGAGCATGAATATATTATCAAATAATACTGTTTATTAACTCAAGAAGCTTGGTATTTACTATAGAAATATTAAGAAATATTAACTCATATTCATATATAACCAAAAGTGACTACTATAATTGCCCCAAATCTTTCCCAAAACAATTATAAAGGAAATTTGCTTTATTTAAAAAAAAAAAAAAAGCTGTATTACCTGTATATCTTAGAATCAGGATTTTACAAACACATCTAGTTTTACAACTGAAATCACTGAGTATTAAGCAAGTCACTTGCATTCCTTTAGAGAAAAAAAAAAACTATATGGTCCATTTTCTTCAGAGGAAAAAAAGCTACATGGTCCATTTTCTTTAAATGCAATAAAACATTAACACTCACAAGAGGTAAGTGCTTATTAAAATATATGATTCACTCAATGCAGAATATGCATAAGAAAACATTTATTTATACCATTTACTTATTGTTACTATTTTAACAATTCCATAATACCCAAAATAAAAATTGCACTTGTCCTGATGATGTGAATGTCTTAGCAGCTATTGAAGTTAAATAACTGTAAATTATATATTTTATATTAAAAAAATAGAACAAGCAGTTATGTCTTGGCTTGTTTTAACATACATGTTTCACAGTGATTAACTGCATGAAAAAAGAGAAGGTAAATGTACATTAAAATTTTGCATTCTTAGATAACATGAATATATATTATATTTCTATATAAGATTTCCTAATCCCTATTAACAAACTTTCCTTCATTAGATGCAAGGGACAAACACCTCAGAATTAAAAAGACAAGAATTCTGTAATAGAATATGTACATATGTATATGTATAAAAAACAAATGTTTTAACAAAAACATTTCTTGAGACTTAAAGTTACTTACTTTCTAAAATGATGAGTTGGAAGAACCATGACATCCCGATTTACAAAAGGAAAAAAAAAAGAGAGAGAGAAGAAAAGAAAATTAGCTTTTCAGCTAAAAACACAATTCCATATGTTGCTATTCAATAAATAGAGCAATATACAAGAAATGCACAAATTCTTAGATTTGGCTGTTGGTGGGGAAGAAAGAACTGGAAAGGTGACTTCTTTTTCTTTCCCTTATTCTTCAATAATGTGTTCATTTTATTTATAATGTATTTGAATATTCATATTAGAAATATATTACAAAATAAATAAGCAGCACAATATTTGTCATCCATTCTTTTCTTTCTTCCATTCCCTCTAATTGGGTCCTCTACCTGCCAGGGTAGGTATACAGCTTATTCTAGTTGTTTGTTTTTCTCCTGAGACTGTAGGGTACTGGAGTCCTTCTGGTTTGTTTTCATTTCCCACACCCCCTGAAGCAGAAAAGGGGTGGGATTTGGAGGCAGGAAAGCAGGCATAATTTAAACTGTCTAGACATCAAAGAACCCCCAGAGATACTTTGCAGAGCCCAGTGCTGTGTGAACTACAGAAAGATCACTGCTTTATCACATTAAATTGCTGACAAAACACATGAAATTTTACTAATGGTGCACACTTAGTGAAAGGAATGGATGGCCTAGTTTAATAAATTTTAAAAAAAGGAAGAATAACCTGGGGTATGCAACTGGAAAAATATTTGTAGGCATGACAAAGAAAATATCCTAATTATGGTCATTCATTCCTTTGCATACAAAGTAATACTGTGTTGAAACCTAATATTTAAATGTTTCCAACCTTAAAGTACTTAATATTTTTAAGTATCTCTTAACTAAAAATTTTAGAGGAGAGCTATTTCTTGAAAAAGTTTTTCAATTTCATTTTCATATCCTGAGCAAAATAAATCTAAAATTTCAACAAATTTTGTAAGTAATCATTAAGTAGAATTATTAGTCAATCTTGTGCTAAGTGCTATTAATATAAATTAATAGAAACAATTATATGTTCTCATCTTTCAAAAACTGAATTAATAACAGCTCCTTTCAATTATTTCCAGTGTTAATAGCTTAGAGAAAATATTTTAATTATAAAAAGCATGTATTTTAAGAGGAAATATCTGGGCCTCTGTGGCAAGATAATACTTTAGTTCTTAACATAGGCTCTTTTGTGTTCAGTGTGTGAAAATTAAGTTATTCACTTAGCATTTTTGCTTTTAACAATATGTTGCACATTACAAAACATTTATAAGTGTTTAAAAAATATGGATGTGGTTATTCATGTATTTAACAAGCATGCCCCTACTAACACAGAATAAACTGCTCCTACCAGTGCATGAAGAAACCTCCTAAATGCACTCATGGCAGTGTGTATCAGGTGATCAAAAATCTAGGTGATCAAGTTATACTAAAAGTTAAGGATAAACTAACTTCTTGCCATTGAGAAATATTGCTGTTTAAGTAATATGAAGTAATGGAGCCCTTAACATGACTGAAAATACAAATTCAAAAACCGCAATATTTTCTGTACTTTTTTCAAAATAATCCTGGCACACAGAACCCAGCCAAAAAATAACCTACAGCAACTTTACTATCTGATTTTGAAAACAAGACCAATTTTCCAAGCTCCATGCTCCCTCTAAGATGATAACTAGTGAAAATTCTCACTGAACACTGACATCTGAGAAATAACACATTAAAGATTTTAAAATATCAAAACAAAGAGGAACAACTCATTAATTCAAGAAATGGGTCATATTTAAGAAAATACTTTAAATATTTATATGAAGAATATCCTCATAATTTTCAATATTCTGCTTGAGGTAAAGTTAGAAATAATGCCAGTACTCATTTACTAGGTAGAGAAACTAAGGCAAGAAATAAATTACCAAATGATGTAACTTGGCAATTCTTAAATTTGGGAAGCAATTTCACATGCCCAAACTCATGTGTCTGACTGGTGGACAACATTAAAGGATATTATTC